GGTCTATGACGGTGAATGAGCTGATGCCTCCGAAGGCTGAGGGACCAGAGAAGAGAAGGGGAAGGAGTCTAGGTGTTCAGCCGAGAACCCTTCTGCAGCCACAGGAGTTGGATGCTTCTAACCTGCAGGGCCAGGCTGGGCACAGGCTCAGGATGGGAGAAGGAACTGTCCCTGGCCCAAGGCAGCTGTCCTCCAACAGAAGGTCATTGCCTTCCCTCAGAAGCTCCCAGCTGACAGTGAACCATGGATCCTCTGATCAGATAGCTCCCACCCAAGGAGAAAGGCAGCTTCTGTCTGTGGTTGCCTGAGTCTGAAGTGGGAGACAGACCCTACCCTTAGATGCATCCCAGTCTGATGAAGACATAGATCTAGCACTGGGAAGACCCCATCTACTGGGGGCCTTGTCCTTGGGAAGCCTCAGGTTCAAGTGTAGAAGAGACCCATCCCCGTGGGAGATGTTGACACACCAAGAGGTTCTCAAGCCAATGGAACTGTGGGTCTCAAGTCCACAAGGGCTGGGAAAGGGCAAAGATGGAAGGATAGAGCCCACTGGGGGAGTCAGGGAGATGAGGAAGCAGGGTGGGAAACAGCCTCTATTCAGTCTCCGCTAGGACAGTGGGACCTAACTCTCACATGTTCCCTGGGAGACCCAAAGCTATAAACAAGTAGTGGTCTGGGGGTGAAGAGTGCTGACTCCCACCTTCTCTTCACTGACCGCCCCCTCCTCCCACATCCTGTCCACACGGCCCTTTGTGGGGTGCCCCTGCCCACATGCTGTCCCTGCCCCAACCCCAGTGGGGTCGACAGGACGTGGCAGCTCCCCTAGAAGACCCAGCTCCCACCCGTCCAGGCCCGCCCCATCAGAGATGTGCTAACACGGAAACAGGTAAAGCACCTGGTGTATGTGTGCTGAGTCACTCAGTCGTGTCTGACTCTTTGCGACCCCATGGACTGTAGCCTGCCGGGCTCCTCTGTCCATGGGATTCTCCAGGCAAGACTACTGGAGTGGGTTGCCTTTTCCTCCTCCAGGGGATCTTCCCAACCCAGGGATTGAACTCATGTCTCAGGTACCTCCTGCATTGGCAGGTGAGTTTTTTATCACTAGCGCCACCAGGGAAGCCCCGGTAGGTGTTATTAAACGGAAGCTAGGATTTGTCGAGCACCTGCTGTGTCCAGCTTTCACTGATAGTTTTTCTTACAACTACCTTGGAAGTAAGTTTGTCTAGACCTCATTATACAGATGTGGATAATGGAGACTCAGAGAAGGTTCCTGAGTCATCCACAATCATATAGCTAATGAGGGCCTTGCTCTCTCCCCTAGAGGGCGCTGCCATAGCAGTCAGAGGCAATTCTAGTGATCCCTCTGGGTGATGCACTTTTGGGTTTTAGAAAGCCAGAGACCAGCTTTCTTCCTGCCTCCAAAGAGCTATGGCCACCAGGCCGCGCAGATCTGGGCAGCTCAGCACTGCCATCTACTGGTCACTCAGTTCCCTTCCTCAGGGATGGGTCACAGAGCGGATGGACTCTGGCAAGGGGTTGGCCAGAGACCCACGTTCCCTCCATCCCATTCACGTTTGCCAACCACCATGCTGTGTCAGGCACTGGAAGAGCAGCAGGTAGTCAGTGGGCAGCAGTCGAGGGACAAAAGTGCCCCTTGAATTGGAGGCTGGCAAATTTGGAACCCTCTGGGCACCTTCTGTGTGGGTGGAGGCCAGGGGGAGGGCTGATCTGTCCCGGAAGGTACTTGGGCTGTAGACAGGAGGTCATCCTGGAAGATTCTGATGTAGAGGATGGGCATAGTGAGTGGGAGGTCATCTTGTCCCCAACTCAGCTTGAATTGTCCCCAACTCAGCTTGAAATAGGACCTGATTTGGCTGAAAGCTGTGGGGAGGGGTGTCCAGGCGTCCTCTTCCCAGAGCCAGCAGCGTTCTGCTGTCCAGTCCAGAAGGCCATCCAGGGACTGGTCTGAGGCTTTGGATGATGCGGCTTCAGATTAGGGATGCAGGAGAGGAGGTGCCATGGAGAATGGGGCTTCAGCCAGACTGGGAGGAGGCAAGTAGAGGTAGAGGCTGGGAGCTATGTCTACCTGGAGCAAATGTGCATCACAGTGTAATCTAGAACAAAGAGAGAGAGGGGACAGAACTGTGCAATGATAGGGCCTGGTTACATCCATGCATGGGCTTCCCCGGTGGCTCAGACAGTGGAGAATCTGCCTGCAATTCAGGAGACAGACCTGGGTTTGATCCCTGGCTTGGGGAGATCCCCTGGAGACGGGAATGGCTACCCACTCCAGTATTCTTGCCTGGAGAATCCTATGGACTGAGGAACCTGGCAGGCTATAGTCTATAAGGTCACAAAGAGTCGGACACGGCTAAAGCAACTTAGCAGTCACACATATTCATGCACATGGTAGAAAACCATGCAACTGTTAAAATGATGATGGAGGTAAATATTTATGGATATGAAAAGATGTTCACAACATATTGTCAAGTAAAAAAAAGCAAATTACAAAATAATTTGTATAGCATGAGCCTACTTTTTAAAAATGAATTTATACATGTAGAAAAAAAAATCTGTTTATATCTCCAGGTGGCAAAATGATGGCTAATTAATTTTTTTGTTCTGCTTATCTGTATTTTCTGATTTTTCTACAATGCATGTAAATAAAAAGTAATGACGTTTTGACAAACGACCATGGCCAAATCTGTCCACCACCTCTTTGCTTCTGTGTGTGAACATCAGATAGATAAGGGCTGAGTGTAGGGATGGATTTGAAGGAGAGATAGGGGTTGAAGACAGAGGGAGAGGATGCAGGCAGGTGATGGGGACCCAGTGAGGAGGCTGAGGCAGGTGAAGAGGGGGGCCTCACCTGCTGCTGCTGAAACAAGCCTGTGTTTCACAAAAACAGTTTACTGAGCGTTCCTGACAAGCCCTTTCTGCTCTATTACAGCTTTTTCCTCCAGGACTGCTTCACACTCATTTCAACTAGATTTCATTTGAACAAAGAGAGAAGGCCACACTGTGACTTGCCTGGCAAGCTGAAAGCACAGCCACTCCAAGCCACAGAGAGGAGTCGGGACAAGGGTTTGTCCCCAGTCTTGTTCTTCCTTTAAGGTCATTCTCTACCCCCATCCTTCCTCAACTCCCCAAACCACAACATGATCAAGGCACTGGGTGCCCCCTTCTCATGATTCCCCTCCCCATGATACTACTCAGGCCCAGCATCAGACTCTGCTAAAGAATTAGGCAGTCCCTGGTGGTCCAGTGATTAAGACTGCACTTCCAATGCAGGGGACGCTGGTTTGATCCCTGGTCGGGGAACTAAGATGGCACATGCTGCAAGGCACAGTATCCCCCCCAAAAAAATTAGGAGTGGTGCTCATCTCCTCTCTCTGCCTGGGACTAACAGGGAAATCTCGTCAAGCAGCCCGTAAAACATGCCCAAATGAAGAGCATCTCCCCTGGTGTGGAGGAAGGGGTATTGCTGGGACAGGGGCTCGGGCTGAGCTGGCTCTGAGAGCAGGGGAGGGGACTAGCAGTCAGGCCTTGTCTGCAGTGCTGGAGCCCTGGCACTACTGGGCCACCCCCCAGGGCCTCTCCTTGTGCCCACTGAATGACTCACCTTGGCACAGACACAATGGCTGGGGTGGGCACAGAGCCTGCTCCCTGCGGCACCCCAGCTCCCCTCAGATGCTTTCCGAGAAGCTCTTTGAGCAAGGGGCTTGGGCTGCGCCCTGCCCAATGGGCTGGCATCTTGGGATGAAAACAGCGCAGCCCCCCGCAGGGGCTGCCCTCGCTGAGCGACACCCTCACCAGTGGTGGAGAACAAGGGTCCATTCAGCGAGCGCCCGGGTAAAGGGATCGGAGGCCCTGGCATGGGCAGTGGGCAGCAAGAGGGGGTGGTGCAGGAGAGGAAGGCTGCCCACTTCCCAGAAGTCCAGGGGCACAGATGGGCCAAGGGCCTGGGTGGACCCCCCGGCAACCAGATAGAAGGGGTGGATGGATCTGAAATCTCAAGGGGCCACAGGGCACTGGGCCCAGGCTCCCAGTTCAGAACCACTGGCTCCTCAGTTCCCAAACCCACTCATCCCCAGAAGCCTTTCCCAGCCTTTCAGCCTGATGTGTGGGAACTTGAAGGAGATAAATCTCCACTGTGAGAGTGAGGTGAGGGGGGGCCAGGGGAAATGGGATGTTACAGGGACAAAGATGGGAGTTGGGACAGCCAGCTCATTCATAAGTGCTTTGTGGAGCTGTCAAGGCCTGGGCTCCAGGAGGGGGTGCAGAAAGGCTGGGGTGGGCCCAGTGAGGCTGAGCCCTGAGCTTCAGGATGGCCCCAGGGGCGGGGGGAGGGCCTGGGAGTGCAGCACCTGCCCCCTCTGGCCCTGTCAGGAGCCCCACATTCCTTCCATCATCCCCCCACTGCTAGATAGAGCCCTCGATTGACCCTCCAGACAAAGGGCTGGTTCTAATTCCAGCCCACAGCCCCGCAACTCCAGGGGATGGGGAGACAGCAGAAATGTGGACGCCTGCACTCAAGAGGGGAGGATGGCAGGAATCTGCTGGGACTGAGGCTGTCAGGAAATCTAACACAGGCTGTTTCTTGAGAGTAGGGAACAGGTTTATTCTTCATCAAGTTCCCAGTGTCTACCAGGCACTGGAAGGAGAACGCTGAGGGAGGGCCTGGGTCATGGGATCTAAGAGTTAGAAGACAGGTCAGGGGTCATCTGGTCCAGCCCTTCCCTGACCCAGCGTCCCAGAGAAAGGGTCTGCTTGCTCAGTGGTCAGGGTTTCAGACACAGCAGCAGCCCCAGGAACTGCCCACTAGCAGCTCTGTCTGGAGCCAGACCGGGGCTGGCACGCTCTGGTGGCCCTGCCTTGGGGCACAGTGGCCTCGGTGGGGTGAGAGGCGCTCTCCCCGTGGCTGGGCTGTGGCCCAGCACCACCCCCTCAGGCTATGCCGGGGGCGTTGCCAGGGGCAGCCTGGGCTGTGCCAGGCCGGTCCCTCCTCCTTAAAGCCCGGGCATCTCAGGAGCGGGCAGAGCCAGGCCAGGATGGAGAGGAGACGGGTCACCTCAGCCGCTCGCCGCTCCTACGTCTCCTCCTCGGAGATGGTGGTGGGGGGCCGTCGCCTGGGTCCCGGCACCCGCCTGTCCCTGGCTCGAATGCCGCCTCCACTCCCGGCCCGGGTGGACTTCTCCCTGGCCGGGGCACTCAACTCTGGCTTCAAGGAGACCCGGGCCAGCGAGAGGGCAGAGATGATGGAGCTCAATGACCGCTTCGCCAGCTACATTGAGAAGGTGCGCTTCCTGGAGCAGCAGAACAAGGCGCTGGCTGCCGAGCTCAACCAGCTGCGGGCCAAGGAGCCCACCAAGCTGGCCGACGTCTACCAGGCGGAGCTGCGGGAGCTGCGCCTGCGACTCGATCAACTCACCGCCAACAGTGCCCGGCTCGAGGTGGAGAGGGACAACCTGGCACACGACCTGGGCACCCTGAGGCAGAAGTGAGGAGGGGAGCCGCAGAGGGGCCTCCTGAACCGGGAGGACTGGGTCCTGGGAGGGGGCACCTGCAGGTCTCAGGCAGGGGCTCTGCCTTCCTGTTCCCCGGTCTCCCACCTCTAGGAGGGAGGGCAATCCTTGTTCCCAGATGATGGAGGGCCTGGGACAAGGCCCAGGGTCTGATTCCCGGGAATCTGATTCCCTAAAACTTTCTGCCAGGGAGCCGGGGTACTGGTCAGCACCTTCTCGCTGGGAAAAGCTGTGGACAGTCAGGGACCCAGCAGGCAGGCTCTGAGTTTTATTCACTGCGGGGCCTTGTGACTGCACAGGGAATACACTTATTCTTAGCTCTGTCTGGAAGAGGAATTGGAAGGGAGGATGGGGGTGCACCAGGAGGACTGGGCTGGGGTACAGGCAATAGGGGAGACAGCAGGCAAGCCTGGCTTCAGAACACAGGTGACTCTGCCTGACCCCAGCTTATGACCCTAGTCAAGGTGCTTCAACTTCACAGCTGTAAAGTGGAGATCTTAATAAACCCATTTCCGAAGGTCAGAAGAAATGCCAGGGGCATGGTCCCTGCCAAGCTGGCAGAGTATGTGTGTGTGACTTCGAGTGCAAGAAGACGTGCGTGCGTGTGTGTGTGTGTGTGTGTGTGTGTGTGTGTGTGTGTATGGCAGGAGTGAGTATAGGTTGATGGAAGCGCCTGTGTGAGCAGAAGCAGGTGCAAGAACCCTGATAAGGCACCTTGGTAATGACTTAAAGCACAGGCTCTTGTCTGCTCACCCTTCTGGCCAAGGCTCTGTCTAGAATCCTTCTGCCCCTCATTCCTCCTTCCGCTCCACTGGTCCTGGGGGTGGGGGAGCATCTCTCCGGCAGGGAGATTAGGGGAGGGGTCCCCATAGTCGTCAGAAGAGCCCAGAACCAGAAGTGTGTCTCCCTACCCCAGGCTCCAAGATGAAACCAACCAGAGGCTGGAGGCTGAGAACAACCTGGCTGCCTATCGACAGGTCAGGGTGGTAGGGAGGGATCGGGGAGGGGGAAAATGTTGATGGCAGCCCACCCAAACACAGTCCCTAAGCCCAGCCCTCCAGAGCAATGTGCTGCTCCACAAAAGGAGGGATCAGATTAGACTAGGGAGCAGAGAGGACAAGTCTGGGGTCAGAGTGGCCCTTTGCCCCGCCCTGCTCCAGGAAGCAGATGAAGCCACCCTGGCCCGTCTGGATCTGGAGAGGAAGATTGAGTCTCTGGAGGAGGAAATCCGGTTCTTGAGGAAGATCCACGAGGAGGTAAGATGGGGAAGGAGGGGCAAAAAGGCCAACACAGAGACTGGAACTGAGGGAGAGAGATGGGGAGACAGAGACAGATATCCAGAGAGAGAAAGGGACAGACTGACAGAGAAAGAAAATGAGAGAGAGACAGAGAAAGAGAGGCAGAGAGAACGGAGGGAGACAGAGCTAGAGACAGATAAGAGAGCACCCCCAGCCCCTGGTAAAATGCACCTAGACACACACTGCACTTAAAGTGGGCCCTGTTGCCTCATTCTTCTTCACTCCGGCCCTGTGAGATAGGGACTGTTCCAGTGTTATCTCCTTTTCACAGAAGAGAACCCTGAAGCTCAGAAAGGTTAAAGAATGTGCTAAGGTCACACATTTGGTCTCTGTGACTCCACTCCCTCTGCCATCTGTTTCCATTGAAATGACAGCCATATTAAAAAAAAAAAAAAAAAAAAGACCCCACTGAGCTCTGACTTCAAATAATAGATTCAGAATCCATGGGCTCAGGGAACTCAGGAACCCATAGGCACACCCACATCACAGGGACTCAGACATTCTTTCATGAGAACACAGACATGCTTCCAGCGCTCCTGACTTCCAGGCCTGGGAGGAGGATACCCCAGGGCCCCCAAACTAACCCGCTTCTTCCCTTATCCTGGACAATGCCATTTCCTCCACTAGGAGCATCCCATCTCCCCTAGCCAACGTCCATGTCCAAGGGGCAGGCAGAAGAGGGCATGATACTATGGGGAAGCCCCAGTTGCAGCTGGTCCCTGAGGCCTGGCAACCCTTCTCTTACCCTGGCCAGGAGGTGCGGGAGCTCCAGGAGCAGCTGGCCCAGCAGCAGGTCCACGTGGAGATGGATGTGGCCAAGCCTGACCTCACAGCGGCCCTGAGAGAGATCCGCACACAGTATGAGGCAATGGCATCCAGCAACATGCATGAGGCGGAGGAGTGGTACCGGTCCAAGGTAACCCTGACTTTGGGACAGCCTGCCTCCTCCAGGCAGCCCTCCTGGCTCCATACAGAAGAATCAGGGAAGGAGGGTGGAGGAAGCTGGGAGAGGATCCTCTCTGAGTGAGTGACCTTTACCAAAGAAGTGAGGCGACTTGCCCAGGGTCATACAGGCACTATTACTCCCAACAAGTACTTATCAGTATCTGTTGCTATTGACTACTAGCCAACACTCTTGTGTTTTAGGCTCTGTGCTTTGCAAGGATTATCTTACCATGAAGTAGGTATTGTTCTTTGATAGATGAGAGAACTAAAGTCCAGAGAAGTTAACCAATTTGACCAAAGTCACACAGCTCCTAAGCAATAAAGCTGGATTTCTAACCCTAGCTGTCTCACTTAAGAGCCTGCTTTTTTTTTTAAACTGTTTATCTGGGGGGCTTTTTTGGTCATGCCTCGAAGCATGTGGGATGTTAGTTCCTTGACCAGGGATCTAACCCATGCCCCCCTGCATTGTAAGGGTGGAGCTTTAACCACTGGACTGCCAGGGAAGTACCAAGCCTGCATTCTTGATGCTTCTGCCATCTGCATCCCGGGTTATTGAGCATCTACTGCATGCCAGGCTCTGCCCAGCATACAGAGACAGGTCTGACCAGGGAGATGTGATGTCACTCAGTCTAATGTCTATGGAGAACACAGCAGGGCAGGGTTTATATGCAATGTGGGGGCAGGAAGGATTTCATGGGAGGGCAGTGGGGCCAAGCAGGACTGGCAGTCTATGAACATAAAGAGAAGACAGAAAGGGCATTCAGGGTGCAGGACACAGCCTGAGTAGAGGCCATAAAGCACAGAAAAGTAGGGGCCTGGTGATCCTGGCCCAGGGCATGGAGCTGAGGAGTGTAAGGGGCGGAAGTCAGCGATGGTTCCGAGCAGGTTAAGGCGTGATGGAGTCATGAAGGGTTCAGTGCAGACTGAGGGAGAGAGGGTTATCAGAACCTGGTCTCTGCTCACCGAGCTCCCTGTGTGTGACGGAGGAGGACGGGGTTCAGTCCCGAGGATGGAGCGGCTGGAGAGTCTGGGCTCTGTGGCACCCTCTGCTCATTCATGCGTTCCCTCATCAGGCACTGGGCTAGATGCTAGGGAAGCAGCGGTGTCGTCTGTGTCCATGGGCCACAGTGACTGTGAATAATCCCCTCAGTACAATGGCGTGGGTGGGCTGGAAAACAACCCGACCGTCCGGCCCATCTCCCTGATCCTCCAGCCTCGTTCCAACTCCCCGGGCCCACCAAGCTCCCGCCCCCTGATCCTCCAGCCTCGTTCCAACTCCCCGGGCCCACCAAGCTCCCGCGATATGCGGCCCCAGATCGCTCCTCAGCATAAAGCCCTCTCCTCATCTAGTTTGCGGACCTGAACGACGCCGCCGCCCGCAACGCGGAGCTGCTCCGCCAGGCCAAGCACGAGGCCAACGACTACCGGCGGCAGCTGCAGGCCTTGACCTGCGACCTGGAGTCCTTGCGCGGCACGGTGAGCACCGGCGGGGCCGTATGCGGGGAGGGGGACCGGGACCACGAGCCGGGCCTGGCACCGCGAGCCGGGCCTGGCACCTACAGCCCTAGCAGATGCTGGAGAAGGACCGGCTGGGGGCGGAGCTCTGAAAAGTTACTTGGGGCGGGGCCTCGGGGAACGGTCCGGCTCCACCCACAGAACGAGTCCCTGGAGCGGCAGATGCGCGAGCAGGAGGAGCGCCACGCGCGGGAGGCGGCGAGTTACCAGGAGGCGCTGGCCCGGCTGGAGGAAGAGGGGCAGAGCCTCAAGGACGAGATGGCGCGCCACCTGCAGGAATACCAGGACCTGCTCAACGTCAAACTGGCCCTGGACATCGAGATCGCCACCTACAGGAAGCTGCTGGAGGGCGAGGAGAACCGGTGAGCCCAGACCGGCCGCCGGCCCTACTGCCCCGCCCCAGAGTCGCCTGGCTCCCTTCACGCGTGCACGTGTGCTCGGACATGTCCAACTCTTTGCGACTCCCATAGAAGGTAGTCCGTCAGGCTCCTATGTCCATGGGATTTCCCAGGCAAGAATACTGGAGTGAGTTGCCATTTCCTTCTTCAGCGGGTCTTCCCACCCAAGGGGTAGAACCCGCGTCTCTGTCTCCTGCTTTAGCAAGTGTGTTCTTTACCACCGCGCCACCTGGGAAGCCCCATCAGGGACTGTCTTATTCAGCCTCGTGACCAGCCCCCTCCTATCCCAGTGCCCAGCACAGTGCTCGCGTAACACACAGTTGGTATTCATAAATGCCTGATGAATGAGTGGATGGATTCAATTCAGCCCATGCTGATCAGGTCCTAGGGTAAGGACTTCGGTTATCTTCCAAACTAAGAGGCTCACTCCCCACCCTCCCAACAAAGACTGGACTTCTTTTCTGCTGACCAATCTCCTCTGCCTCCTGGCAACTCTCTTCACCACTCTCCCCTCCCCTCTGTCATCCTCGGAGCACTCACTCTCTTTTGAGTGGAGATGCTCCCCTTGCTTATAACACCCAGGGCTCTTACAGCCCCAGGGAGTGTGTTGGCTGCTGGAGAAGCTAAGATATGGGGGTCTGCCTTTCCTGGCAAGGAAAAGGGCCTCGAAGCTATCATGATGACCCTGGACCAGGATCTGGCCTGGGAATGTCCTCCGGCAGGCTGGTCACCCCTCTCCTTCTGCTGTCTTTCAGCATCACCATTCCTGTGCAGACCTTCTCCAACCTGCAGATCCGAGGTCAGTAGAACAGGGTTTTGTGGGCAGAGTGTTGGATTCCCGCCCCCTCCCCCAGGCCTGTGGGTTGCTCTTCTGGTCTGAGGCCAAGGACCAGGGCAGAGGAGCCCATTCTCTCTGTGGGGACCTTCATTATTCACGGCAGGACTTCCAGCCAGAATATACCATCCCAGAGCATTCCAGGTGGGGCTTGCAGCCACTCCTGTCCTGCTCTGCCCTTTGTCCCTCCTCCCATGCCCACTCCCCATTCCACTGCAGAACTGAGTGAGGGTCTTAACCTCTCTCCTGTCTGCAGGTCCCTGTCCAGCTGAGTGTTTGATGTTTGTGTGTTTTTTTAACTGCTTGTCACTACAGGGGGCAAAAGCACCAAAGAAGGGGAAAGTCACAAGGTCACAAGACATCTCAAAAGCCTCACAATACAAGTTATACCAATTCAGGCTCACCAGGTTGTAGATGGAGCCCCGCCGGCTCTCGGTTAGCTGCCTGCCTTTTAGACATGGTGCTTTTCTCAGCTTGATAGGGAGCAAACTCACCAAGCCCACTTTCCCCATCTTCTTGGGCTCCCTCCTCCCAGGTTTCCCTAAAGGCCAAGTCTGTGTCATTTCCCCAGCAATCTCAGTGCCCGGTCCAGGGCCTGGCACAGAAGTAGTAGAGTTGGCTGGTGTTCAAGGTGCTAAGTCCTCGGGTACTCAGTTGAGATGCTCTGGGCCTCTAAGCAAACACCAGCTTCTGCCTCACCTCTTCCCCATCACCAGGAGGGCCCCTAGAGTCTCATGGTGCCTGGCGGCCAGGCTCTTGGCCTGATTCCTCTGTCCCTGAGGCTTGGTTGTTCAGCTCAGGGCTGATTCAGCCCAGAGGATTATTTCCCTCTAGACTGCTGCTCTTGGAGTGAATAAAGTTTTATGTCCCCTGCTCTTAATATTAAACATTAGTGAGTTTGACATGTTATATTTTTGTCTCTGCAGGGGGGAATAAATTACTTCTTACTTGTATGTGGCCCTCAAATAATTCTCCGCTGAGGGAAAAAATAATTCTTCTGGACTAGAAATTTAGGAACACTAGCTATGCATGTCCTAGGGCTTAGTTCAGTATCAGAAGAGTTAACCAGCAGACCAGGTAGAGGCAATACTACCACATGCCAGACAGAAGAGGGTCCTAGAGAGGTGGCAGAGAGAAGCAGGAAAAGGGAAGAGGGACGGGAGAGGGACCCATGTGTATGGAACACGAATATGTGCCCATTGTTTTACACACATTATTTCAGTTAACTGACTCATTACTTCCACCTAGAGAAGTAGGCAGCAGCATCCCCATTTTGTGGATGAGAACAGTGAGGTTGGAAGAGGTAAATTAACTTGCCCACAGTCGCGTGGCTGAGCTGGGACTCGAACTTTGGCCTGCCTGACTTCAATAACCACGCGCTCTTCCCTTGGCATGATGCTGGGTTTTCAGGGAGCCAGGGGCCAGGTGAGGGACTGCAGAGGGGCTGAAATGCAGCTAGGCCAGGACAGCAAGCAGGGCAGTGAGGGCTTGCTTGGCACCGTGGGGACTTAGGAGATCGCCAGCCCCTCTGGGAGAGCCTAGGACTTCTCTGGTTGGATAGGCTTTTGTACTTGCGATTAGGAGTCTCAGGGGGAAACTGAGGGTGGGAGAAGATGCCTAGGGCCCTGAGAGCCTACGGATGCCTCCTCTCCTCATATCTGCAGAAACCAGCCTGGACACCAAGTCTGTGTCAGAAGGCCACCTCAAGAGGAACATTGTGGTGAAGACCGTGGAGATGCGGGATGGAGAGGTGAGGATGGCATGTCCAAGATTCTGGCCCCAGCAGGCTCTGGGAGAAAGCCTGCACCGGCGTATAGAAGGTTCTTGATAACTCCCAAGAGTTCCTCTGGGAGGCTCTGGAAGAGGAGAAGGAGCCCGGATATAATTCCATTCCCCAGTCCCTACACTAAGGGGAGTCTAGATGCTTAGGCCACTGGACGGGGTCCTGACTCTGGCTTTCTTCCTCCCTTTCTCACCCTCAGACCCAGGTGCCCTCACAGCAGGCCTGGAGCAGAGAGAAAGAATATTAAATTTAGTAACTTTCACTCCCAACTTTCAACTTTCAGCTTGGTGCAAGGGACCTGGCAGGAGAATGGGAAGAGGAGATGGGCATATCCCTTCCCCACTGTATCAGCAACAGAACTAGCTAATCTTACAACAGCAGCTCACCATGTGCCAGGCAGATGTTTGCTAGATGTTTGACAATTAGCTCGTTTCCCCCTCTGACTGCTGCATGGCGGCCTTCTGGTTACCATCATAGAAAAGGTGGAAGGCTGGGAACCTGTCCCGGGTCACACTGCCTAGCCGCGGTGGACCTGGAGTCTCGTGAGCTCCTAAGTGTGGCACGTTCTCTGTCCCCTGCAGGTCATTAAGGAGTCCAAGCAGGAGCGCAAGGACGTGATGTGAACAGGCCCCATCTGGTGGTCACTGCCCCGCCGTTTGCGGGGTCTGCAGCAGGAGTCGGGGTAGCCGTCCCTTCTCCGCTAGTTAATTTCCCCAGAATTGAGTTCCCACCCAAACCAGTTGCTCCTCTTCCTGCTCCGTCTCTATGCCAGCTTGCCACCCTAGGCTCCATCAGCATTAAGCCTGCCAGACAGCACACACCCCACACCCAGCAACACTAACAGGGCACTCACCCCAAAGGGCGGCCTGGAGGGGCACAGCCAGCAGCTTGAGTTAGAATTAGGAGGGAGGAGAAAAGGCAGGGAGGGCAGGGAGACCTCATAAATCACCCTACCCTCTGTATCCTGAACCTTTGTTGTCATGGCAACTGTTGCCAGAGCTGGAGGTGTCTGGGGGTATCTGGGAATGGGGCCTTTGAGTTTCCTTGGGCTGCTGGAGGAAAACTGAGAGTCTGAGACAAGCAGAGGAAGTCCCCAGGGCAAGGTGGCCTTGGCCAGAGGCTTATTCTTCTAGACTGACTCTGACCAGTCTGAGGGTGGGTGGGGCTATCCTGCCAACTGGGAGAGTCAGCAGACAGAATTCCTGGCCTGCTCAGATCACAGAGGGGCCTCCTGAGCGATGCATCAAGTGTCTCAGCCCCACTGAGCTGCCACGTGGGCATGCCGTGGGCCCGTGGGAGCTTGATTCTCTGCACTTGGGGGAAGTATAGTGTAAGTGCAGAGGAAGGGGGTGCTGGGAGGGAGCAGAAAGGGGCCTTGCCCATTGCTGTGGGTACAGAGAGGTCAAGCCCAGGAGGACTCCAGTACAGGCTGGAGGGGGCAGGTAGAGATGGTGGGGGCAGAGCTTGGGATGATGCTAGACATCAGAGTGCGGGTCGTGGGTGAGTAGTTACACTTGGCCTTTGGGTCGTGGGAATCAAGAAAGTGATTCATCCTCTTGAAGATGCTGACACAGGAAAGGAAGAGGCTGCTGTTCATGGGAGCGGGGCCCGCTATGTCCCAGCTCTCAAGGCCCTTCCCTTGCTGCGTAAACCCTGTCCACCCAGGCCTGTGGGCCCCTGCAAGTGCCACCTGACCCCAGGAAACACTGCTAAGCGAAGCCTCTGTTGCCGCCCAACCTCCTCTCCCCACAGTGATCACTGCTCTTCCCTAAACCAAGGCCCCTGTAGTCCCCTCTTAGTCAAATACAAAACATACCCCCCTCCCCATGTTTTAGGTAGCACTTTATTTTATGATTTGGAACCCGAGGCCCATGCAGAGTGAAGACACTGGTTTGTGTTCCCGCAGCCTGGAGGCAGGAAAGCTTGGGGCAGACACTTCCACCCTGAGCACCTGTTCTGCTGTTCGCAGGGAGACTGGTGGGCATGAGATGATCAGTGCCCACAAGTGGGGCTCCGAAGCCCACTCTAGGGTCCCCATCTCCCTCTAAGTCAGAGGGACTTGACTGCATACCCTTCCCCCACTCCCTCCTGCCACCCACTGCTGCTAATCTTTGGGGCATTACTGCGGGCTTTAGCCACTGACATAAATGCAACAAATAAAGACAACTGCTGTGGCCTTCCCCAGAGTGGACTCTGATCTGTTCAGCAGAGGCTGAGGCTGGGGCAGAGGACAGGACGTAGCCTCAGGCAAGACACAACTTGCTTCTTATCACTGATCATCGTGGGGCCCCCAGCATCCCCAGAAGTGGCCACATGACAAATCCCACCTCCAACCCTGCTCTGCTTTCCAGCCCTGGTGCCCCACGCACCCACTGCCTTTGCTTCCGGCTCCTCTTCTCACCCCCAGCCCCTAGGCTGGGTGCCATCTCTCAGGAAAGCCCTGAATTCAGTCTCCACTTTCCTCACCCATTTCCCCTGTCCTGGTCTCTACCTTTAATCCCCAAACTCACCATTTCTACCTGCCAGTCCCGGGATGAGGCTGGGAAAGAAGGCAAAGAGGATATATACTAGGTACCCCAACTCTTTTCTTCCTCTCTCTGCTACCTTCAGTTCAAACAGCACCCACCTGGCAATCCACGAAGGCAAGAAAATAAAGCACATCAAACACGGTCAACACCAGATAGGTGATAAGTATTAGGTTCACTTCTTCCTTCTCTGAGCGTGAAATCAGAAGACACGTGCACTCAGACTACTTCCATCCTGGACTCAGTTCCCCATCTCCCACCTGCTCAGGCTTCCCTGCTTCCCAGATGAGTTTCCAGACTTGCTCACGAAAATGGGGGGCAGGTTCACATGCCCCGCCCCCAACCAGAGGCATCTGGTACCATTTAACAAACACATTTGAGCACAGCTGGTCTTCAGAGCTGGGGGAGAGAGAGCCTGGGGGAGAAGTTGGGACAAAAGCGGAATAAGTAACAGCAGCAACGACAAAGGTGAATGCTGATAAAGATGACTGTGATGAGCATGTAGCCTATCAGAAAGAGCCCCAGGGCGGCCCGAGTCTCAGGATCGGAGAAGGAGACCGGGTAGCGACCTGGAGATGTCACGCCCAGTCGGAACCCAGCAATGCGCTCGCCCTGCCGCCAGCAATAGTAGATGCCCCGGTCTTCCAGCTGGGTGAAGCGGATGTGGAGATGGTTGCCGTGGTCGATAAACACCCTCATGGACCCGTTGACGCCCTTCAGGTACTGCGTGCGGTAGAGGTACTGGTGGTCCTTGTCCCAGGCCACGGCATGCTCTGGCCGGGCCCCGGGGCAGGAGATGATGAGTCCGTGGCCCAGCCTCTGCTGGTGGAACTGAATGGGCACCTGGGGCAACCAGGGCCGGCTGCCCACTTTGGACACATAGTTGAAGATGGCCATCACGCCCTCCTGGACCTTCTTCTTCTTCTTGCAGGGCATCAGGCAGCTCCGAACCAGCAGCTCGGGGTTGTGGTCGCTGGCCTTGGCCCGGAGCTGCCTGGGCACAGCCCTCGAACCACAAGACACCACGTTGGGCAGTATCTTGCGGTAGCGGGGAGAGAGGTCCGGGCTCTGCAGGTAGCACAGACCGATACGCCACTGCTCCCCACGCACCCCGCAGCGGTCGCAAGGGGTCCACTCCCAGAAGGTGGTGAAGACGCGGAGGCTCCCGTGGTACTCGTCTTCTAAGGGCTCCTGGCCCTGGTCCTTGAAGGTAGCCACCATCCCCTTACTGCTCTGGATGTCCACGTCGTAGGCGTAAAAGTAGTCCCCCTTGCGGGTGCCGCAGAAATATAAGCCGGAGTCTTCCGGCTGCGCCCGGAAGACCAAGAGGCTGAACATGCGGATGCTGAAGCGGACCAGTATGTCGCTGCCCACGCGCACCTGGGCTGCCTCCGTCAGCACCCGCCCATCGAAGTCCGTCAGCACTTTGGTGTGGCTGCTGCCCAGGTGCTTCTGATAGTACCAGACGACAGCGGACACCTCCTCCGGCTTGCAGGGGCAGGGGAGCTCGAAGCTCATGTCGGCCAGGTAGGCCGCGTTGTCAAACATCAGGAAAGCCGGGCAGGGGGTCCTCTGAAAGATGTTCTCTTTCCCCACTATTTCAAAGGCCTGGAGGCTCCCCCACGCCCACAGGAGCACAGTGGTGTGGGCCAGGCTCATGCCTGCCCAAGGGAAGGGTCAGAGGGGGCAGGGCAAACCCGAGGCACTAAAGGCCTATGGGGCTTCTAGAAATCACTGCTGGGAGGAGTCATCTATACGAGGAAAGGATTAAGTAGCCAGGAAAAGATGCAACAGTCTGCAGAGGAAGCTGCCATAGGCAAGGCAGTTGATTCCCAGTTAACGTACAAGATGCCCTTCCATGTTCCAGATGTGATCTTGAGGAGAAAACCATTCTAGAATCTGGCTCCCTCTCCCCTTTCTAGAACTCTAGCATTCTAGAACACTGAGTCAGGGGAAGCCAGAGAAACAAGGGCCCAGGTCCAAGTTGGCAAAATCTCTGCCCTTCTGCTTCAGGCTCTGCCCTGCCTGCCTGCCTGGTGGAAAGGTCTTCCCTTTGGTTAATCTGAGAGTTGAAGGAAGCTCTCCCACCTGCACATCTTGCCATCTGAAGATACCTGGGAGGCTGGCCAGGCCTGAACTGAAGGCTTGGGGCTTTCTCAGGCCCAACCTGCATGGGAACTCAGCCCCTGGAGAAAAATATTCCACCTCAAATGAGGTAGCATTTGATCATTTATTGACTAAATGTCCATTAATTGGTTTCTGGTGATGAATACTCTTGTTTAAGGGCTATGGAAGATGAACTGGGAGATTGGGATTGACCATATGTACACTACTATGTATAAAATAGATAACTAATGAGAACCTACTGTATACCACAGGGAACTCTAGTCAATGCTCTGTGGTCACCCCTAAATGGGAAGGAAATCTAAAGAGAATATATATATATATGTATGTGTGTGTATATATATGTATATACATATAAATTATTCATTTTGCTATACAGAAGAAACTAACAACATTGTAGGGCAACTGTACTCCAATAAAATCAATTTAAAAAAAAGAACTATGGAGACCAGTATTTGTTAACCATGGAGGATTAACAATTTTGTTTTTTCCTTGTTTTGAGTGGAGGCTGCAATGGGTGGTACCAGTGTTTGGTTGGGTGCTCACCCATATCTCAGGGCCATGGGCTAGCACACTGGCAGACTCTAAGGGTGGGAAGCAAAAAATCTTTCAGCTTGGCCCTTGACCATCCTGTAGATCTACAAAGTTCAGAATATGAAGCCTCCAAGGGGCTGGGGAAAAGGGAAAATTCAGTTCCTGCTTTGGTTGTGAAAATTGTAAATCCAAAAGGGAATCAGGTGTGGGTTTCTGATTAGAGTCCCGCAGAGCCCCCAAGACCATAAAAAAATGCCTCTGATGACCACTGGGGGCCTCTGAGGGTAAATGGTCCCATCAGTCCACCTGGTATAGCATCAGCAGCTCTTGCAGCAGACCCTCCTCCTCCTGAAGCCCACCCGGCTGCTCTCCCAGGCCTTGCCCCTCCAGGCTGGAGGTGCCCATGGCCTGCAGCTTCTGAAATAAGGCTCTGCAGCTCTCTCTCTCTGCATAGCTCATCAGGCTCAAGTTCAGGGTGAAGCGCCCGGTGCTGGCCAGGCTGTGCAGGATCCCCAGCACTGCCCAGCGATCAGCATGCCTCACATGATTGGCCAGCGCCACCAGCATCTCCCCTAGAAGTCCAAACCCCACGTCCATCTGGAAGAGGCGGCCCAGCTTCAGACCCCCGAGCTGCAGCAGGGCCTCGTAGCGCTCTGGCCCACTGCGCAAGTGTCGCCGCCAGTCACGGTAGAACTCGGCTGAGGTCTCAGGCTGGAAGAGCGTTTTCTCCTGGATCACAAAGGAAGAGAAAGAGAGTCCAGAGCTCTTCCAGCTGCTCCGTGACAGTGAGAGTGAGGGGAACCCATGGGTTTTCAGCTCTGGTATTGGTCTCTGAGCACTGGCAAGGCCACAGTCCCTGTGGGCCTCATTTTCAGATGAAGGACCAGGGGATGGGATGGGAAGGGAGGGTCCCAAGAGGAGAAAATACAGGCCATGATGTGAGATTCTCAGCTGTACCAGGACTTTCCTACTGATGAGTGTGGACATAGCCCTGTTCTACAAGAGTAAGTCAGACTTCACTCTGAGCAGGGTGGGGGTGGGAGGTATTTGGAAACTTCAGGAGGAGAAAAAAGAACTCAAGTATTCAGGATCTGACAGGCTGTATCTCCTTCCCAACCCTGCCAGAGGATCAGACTCTCTACCATATGACCCAAGGCAGGGCACCCCAAATTTGATCTGGGAATGCAAGCCAAGGGCTGATGGACAGGGGCCTGTCAAGTCCCCATTTCTGACTTGATCTGGTAGGTTTTGGCCTCATCACCCACTGGTTGCTTTTCTTTCTGGAATTGGAGGCAGAAGGTTGCTTCTGTTGGCTTTACATGAGACACAAGGAAAACATATGTGTTGTAAGAAGACAGGATGGGAGGGTGAGGGCAGAAACTCCTGCTGGGCCTCACCTACCAGGGAGATTTCAGTGGTTTCATCCTGGGAGGGCCTTCCCTCACTAGTGTGACAGTTCCAGGGCACAGGCCTCTTTCCTCCCATCTTGTCCTTCCGTTCCAGCGGCTTCAGATGTGATGCAAGGACGATACCCCTATGGGCAAAGGCCAGAGATTAGGGGATGGACCTTATGCTGCCTGTAAGTATGAGGTGGCTGGACTCTGCATGAAAACAGGCTGGCCCTGTTGGCAAGCCCATATAAGAAAAATAACAACAGCAAAAGTAACTGATAACTTTTGAGCACTTCCCATGTGTTAGGTATTGTGCTCAGAATCTCATGTGCAATCACGTTTAATCATGACAATGGTTACTTTTTCTTTCAGATGAGGAATAGTGGCTCAGATAGGGAAAATAATTTGCAGAAGATCACACAGGTAGCAGAAGGTAGGGCTAAGACAGCCCAGAATGGTCTGACGCCAGGTGTATGCTCTTATCCACTATAGTAAACCAGAACAGGAGAGCCTGAGAAAAATGGCATTAAGCTGACCTGAACTCCTCATAGGAAGCTACCTTCTGTTCCACTGCCCGTAACTTGGCAGCATTCTCCCGTTTGT